AACTTGTCAAAGTTTCGAACCGGGGACCTCCTCAATACGAAGCAAAAGTGTCAACCGTTCTACCGCGACGTTCGATCCGATCCAGTAAGTCAGAGGATTGAATTCCAAATGTGAGAGTTCTCGTCGTTTTGCGAACAATTCATCTTCAACAGGTCTGGAAGAGAAAGGCGTGGGTAGAGCAGAGGTAGCCTTGCTCTCCGTGCGCATAAACAGACATTACGTCACTGTAATTATGCTACGCTGACAGTCAGGTCTGGAACTCGGATCTGGTAACGGGTTCGTATCGAAACGTTCCAAGAAGTACAGTTTGTTGAGAAACGCACCTTCTGCTTCCCATCCGCGCATCAGAAACCCCTTAAATGCAACCAATAGCGTGTCTCATTTATTCACGCGCGCTAATAGGCTCTGCCCAAATGTCTTTGACGACACACTCATTCATTCATTGAATATAATTAAAAAAAAGGTAAAGCTATCCCTGTAACAGGCCGTGGAGGCCCATAGGATTGTGAGAGGTTGAGGCTCCCACACTTTCTAGATAATCGGCTCACAGATGGTGGTGAGGCTGTCAGCCTTACGTGCCGGCCGCCCTTTAACCCCCAGGAAGATTCCTGGTACTCATTCTTCCAGAGGCTGAATCGACACCACGGCCATAGTGCGACTGGCAAGATTCGGTGAACTGAAAAATCCAATGACCTCATCTGGAATCGAACCCGCGACCTGCCGACTTGTAGCATAGTGCCTCAATCAATCTCAAGCGTAACTCGTTAAATATTCATTGCAGAGAAAATTGTTTCGAACAAACGTTGTAGGGGGAAAAAATTAAATACGTATTTCATACCCAATACAACTTTTCCGCAGGTCTGACACTTCGAGATAATTAATCATAGGGGCTCGAACGCCAAACCAGTTGTTAACGCTATGCGTACATTTCGTAACTTGTTTAAACAGTCACGTACTGACACATCATTTACGGGAAGACGTAGGCTTGGTGTGTGTGTGTGTGTGTGTACTGCATCATCTACTTACATATCGGATTTATTTCCGATCTGCACTTAAATAATCTTTCCTGCCATTTCGCTACTGGAATCTGCAACGCCCGACTTGGCCTAAATACAGCAAAAACGGCCGTGATCTCAAACTGACAGGTCTCACGCGAACTGACACGCTGATGCATTTGTAACGTACAGCTGCCTCCGGATCGGTTCAGTGTATGGAAACAAATCTCCCACGTGTCTTTTACACCCTTTCTGTGGTTTACCCTTAGGAGCATTTCTAAGAGTGGTGGTTCCATATTATTCCTTTATGGGCCACATCTTAAAAACGGAATTTTCTGTTTTTTTTTTCCTGCCACTCGTCAAGCATAACATACTAAGTTATCAAACTCCGAGCCCTTCTTGAGAAGCCGCTAGTGGCTTAGCTATTGAAGAATTTCCCAACATTTTACTGAACCCGAAGGTTCATAACCGTGTTCACAAGAGCCCTCCACCAGTCCCTATCCTAAGATCCAGTTTAATATTATCATCCCACCTACGTGTACGTCTTCCTGGTGACCTCTTTCCTTTTGTCTCTCCCATCAAAATCCTATACGCATTCCTAGTCTCCCGCACGCGCGTTACATACCCTGCCCATCTCATCCTAATTCTACTTGGTGTACAGACGAAATAAAGAAATGACTGTGCTCTGTACATCACATATATCTGAGGCAATTTGTTTTCAGTGCTTCTTCCCGCCCTTCTGGCCCTGGCCTCTTATTCAGTTCCGTAATCATTTTATCGCCGGTCACGGTAGCCGAGCGGTCTAAGGCATGCACTGTCTTCGCTCGCTCGGAAGCCGGGATCGTGGGTTCGAATCCCACTCAGGGCATGGATGTTTGTGTGCGTTTTTCTGTGTTTGTGTACAGGTAGAGGCCTTCCGACGAGCTGATCACCCGCCCAAGGAGTCCTACCGAATGTGAAAGATCTAGAAAAACCGAAGTGAACGGAGTTCATGGAGGTAGGCTTAGGCCCACTGGGGCTGTAGTGTCAAGAGGGGGGGGGGGAATCTTTTTATCACAGACGGTAGGACTCCTGGGACGACTGATCATCCCGTAGCAAGGCCTCTACCTAAATAACAAAACAAAAACTCCGTGGCCTGTAGTCCGCAAGCGAACCATACCGACCGCCGTTTGTCGGCGAAGTTAGTGCCAACTCTTGCGGATAGAGGGTGTCACGTGGTCAGTTCAACGGATCCCCACGGCCGTTGATCTCGGTTTTCTAGACGAGAACCATTATTTCTTCGAAACAGCTCCTCAGTTATCCTCACGAGGCTGAGTGGACCCCGTTCCAAACTCACTACTTCTCAGAAAATCTGGTAGTGCCGGGTATCGAACCCGGAACATCTGGATCTGTAGCCTGGAACTCTGATCACTAGATCACAGTGGCGGTCATCTAACTAAACACAAACAACACAAACACAGAATAAACACATACACACACCAAACATCAATGTCTTAAGTGAGATTCAAAACCACGATTCCAGCGTCCGAAGACAGTTCATGCCTTAGACCGTGCGGCTACTTTGACCGGCATATCTGAAACAGTGACCATTCGGAAGAAGAGAGAAATCAGGAAAGTGGTGGTTATTTTAATGGCATCTCAGTATTTTCAATCTGCTTTACTGAAATAACTGAAAGCTTTAATGATGGCGGTAGTGTTTCCGAACAGGCGACACACTGTCGAGCGAGTGTATTTTTGTGAACAGAAAAAGCTGACAGTTGGTCGCTCAGTGTGAGCCGCGATTGCTACGGTTCGGCTGTGTTACTATCGTTACAAAATTCTCCCCTATGCCAAAAGTCTGAATAACTTATCGAACACGCTCCACGTTTCGAGGTCGGCGACCACGTCTGGGGACATTATCACGCCTCACCAGCCTTGCAGTGTGTGCACCAAATATTCGAATAGAAATTCTACCATATCCCGGAGGGACCTCTGGGATACACGTGCCTCTTACCACTACTTACGTTACAGAATAGGGGAGAAAATGATGAATGAGAGAATACGGGAGGGGAAGATTTCCGTTCCGTCTGAGGGGTGGACAAAATAAAATTATTTGGAACCACTTCTGTACATCTGGGTTCTAGACTTCACACATCTCCTACTAGTAATCAACACTGTAAAAGTAAAGGCATACCCTGTAACAGGCCGTGGAGGCCCAGAGGGTCGTGAGATGTTGAGGCTCCCAACATTTTCTAGACAATCGGCTCACAGATGGCGGTAAGGTTGTCAGCCTTACGCGCTGGCCGCACTTTACCCCCAAGAATATTCCTGGTACTCATTTCTGTTAGAGGCTGAGTCGACCACGGGGCCACAGTGCGGCTGGAAGGATTAGGTAAATTGAAAAAAGTTCACCTCATCGGGATTCGATTCCGCGACCTTCCGGCTTGTAGCACCGACATAAATTGGGCGGCTCCTTCTCACGTGTTAGGCGGTTCTGCAAACTGACTGAGACAGGCAACAGCGCTCCATCTCTCACCCTACACCAAGGGTTCCCAAATTTCATCACTCTACAAACCACTTCCTTGAAAAATTAAAATAAGCGAACTCAATTAAAAAACACACGCCCTACTTCTTCCTTGAAATCTGGTCTTAGCTTGTCATCTTCTCCTTCGCCAGACACCCACCTGGGTTCCCTCAAGCAGCGAATACTTACAGGAGTTTCAAAGAATGTTCTCCGTGTGAAAGTAACTTTCTTTTTTTTAGTTTATTTTATGCCACTCTATCTAAACTACAGAGAGTCGAATGGTAACATGACTGACGAAATGTGAAGAACGTGAAGGAAGTGGTCGTGGCCTAAAATCTGCATTTGCCTTCAAGCATACCACTGAGATTCGAACCAAGCACCTCCCTGATCCAAGTCTATAGAGTGTTGCAGCTCAATGAGAGAAACACTGGTTGAATTTATATATCGGGCAAAATTCTGAATAAAAATCGAATATGTCTTAAACTGAGTTCTACCACAAATACATTTTCTTTTTGCAAATCGTGTTTTTTTTATTATTATTATTTCTGGTGTGTTCTGGACATATTCTTCCTGTTTCCGAATTCGGGTTATTTATAGATATACAGCGAGTCTACTTAAGCTTACAATTCCAAAACACGATCGATCTATGTTCCATGCGTTCTCAAACTCTTTCCAGTTGTTACACTCGGGTCAGGGAAAGAATGAACATGAATGATGGGGGGTTGAAGTCGGCAGCCTGTTTCCTAACCCCACATGCTTCTACACATCCAACAGGTAAATACTTATCACACATAAATAATACAAAGAGAAAAAGCGACATCTTAACGCAACCAAAACCAGAACACAAGCGCCGAACTGTCCGAGTACAGGTAGGCCTTCCGGGGGGGGGGGATATGAGACAGACGGCTGAGGGTTGGAGAATGTTTTCATTCCTTCCCTGACCTGACTTTCGGCCGTCCTAACCAGTCTAGAGAATTTAAATTTCGCATACTAATGCATTAAAGACTGAATTTCTTCTAAATAATATAAAAAGATTTCAATAAAAAAAGGTAAAGCTATCCCTGTAATAGACCGTGAAGCCGTAGGGTTTTGAGACGTCAAGGTTCCCACATTTTTGAGACAATCGGCTCAGAGATGAAGGTGAGATCAGCCTTGAGCGCCGGCCGCCCTTTACTCCCAGGAAGATTCGTGGTACTCATTTTTGTTAGAGGCTGAGTGGACCCTAGGGCCACAGAAATTACCTCATCTAGAACTGAACCCGCGACCTTTCGGCTTGTAGCATGGTGCCTCAACTACACTACTGCATAACCCTAAAAAAAATTCAGTTCGTACCTCTCCGCTACGAAGATCACAGTTGATGCTGTTTAGGGTAACAATCGATAGCTGTTTACTGCGAGAACCATACGAAACACACAAATAGACTATGTGGGAATAAAGAAGAGTTTTAGTATGTTAACGTAGGTAGTACATATACTAACCACTAGGCTTCAAAAGGCAGGTACCTTGAGATTGTGGGCTATTTGACGGATGTAGTAGAGATCCAGGTCCTGCAGTATCTCTATCTTGCCATAGCTGTCGGCCTCCCCGGGCGGCTGTTGCGCGGAGGCAGGGCGGCCCTGACGGTTATTATTGGTCTGGTGGCCGTTTGATTTGCGATGGTCCCTGAGGCTCAGGGCCGCCAGAGGAGGGAAACACGAGTCCATTACACTAACCACGGACAAAACGACTTCCCCGTTTGGAGGCGAGCCGTACTGTGCCAGTGGTTTCAACGGAGATCTTCAATTGTTACCATTATTATAAAACCATTTTGCATGAATTTCTTTCAACTTAAAATAAATTCTTGGTACTTAAATACAAACGAACGTAACTCCGCGTAACTAATACATTACCACCTTCAACCCCGCTGAATCTGGTTGGAACATGGACTTTTCCTTTGCACTTTCCGGCCATTTACCTAAATCACGATTCTGTTTTCGTAGAAATACACACGTGCTAGTAAAAATGACTTCTGTTTCTTCTTTAACCTTCGCAACTGATGACGTTTTCTAAATCGTTTTAGGTGAAACGTTTGTTTCACTACTCCCTTCCCCAGTACATGCTTCAGAACTGTTTCCTTCTTTATTCGGTACAAAAGGGTAGCAAAAACAGAGAGGGGGGAGGGATTCTTTGGCGCAAGCGCTCCAGATGTCACACACACTACGGGAGGGCGCAGGAAACTGGTTACAGAACCACGTGCTCCTTTACCGCCACCCCATACCGGCTTAGACACAAGTTTGGGCGCTTCTTAGGAAAACAAGGGGCACTTATCGTGATGGAGAATCACTGTTTTGGCTCGTCACTTTCACTGTAATAGTTCAGCACAATGCCTGTTTTCAAAAACTTCGCACTCAGAATTCTAAAGTTCGAAACGTCACATGACTGTCTTTTTTTTTTTGTTTGTTTCAAACGTGTTAATTAAAATATACAACACATATTTTAACGAAAACCACAACTACACTTTAAACATATATATCACAGCATTCTGTACAGATACAAATATTACCAACTTTAATGTCATATCACGCATCAGTTCAGACAGGATTTATCATTCATATAACACTGACACATGAATACTGATTTCAGATGTTTCACGGTACAAAACCAACCTCTGGCACAAAATTCCACGAACAATTTCAGTTTCCTTCTGTAAGGAACATATATAATCTCTATTACGACACGCAAGCCTTATAAAGCGATGTGAAGACACCAGATTTGGTTTCTGTGCCTTTACCAGGACTGAGGAATCACTCGATGCGATTATTCCCTTTGTGAAACCGCAAGAGAAGGAAATGTCGAGTCGCGAGCGGATGTCCTGCCTCCGCGCTACCAGCTGCACTGTACTCCCTCCAACAACTGCGGGCCGCAGCTAGGGCAGCTAGCGACCGGTCGAACAAGCCAGACGGCAAGCTCCACTCTGCTGCTTCATTGTAAAGCGAACTATCGTAGCGGCTGCGAAACCTATCATCCGCCGTTGTCGTTTCGAAGAAGGTCGCTTTCTGCACAACAGCAACAGAGCGCATTGTCCATTCCTTCGCGCGCACATTATAGGTGGGACACACGGTTCGTTACGTATAGATAACCTTTCCCTACTTTTAAGAGGTTTATGCAGAGCACAGTGACCTGAATTCGACTAAACGAACCCCAGAACGGACTAAATCCAGAGATTATTGCTACTCTTCAGTTCTGAATGTGTGGTCTCCATATAGACAACCTAAACTACACTATACTCGTATGTTTCGAGGCTTCTTGTTGGCGAGATGAAACGTCATCACGCCAGGGGATGAACACAGATTGGGGGTGTTTAAGAACACAGTGCCGAGAATCATATTTTAAGCTAAGGAAGAAATTCAGTGTTGACTGCACTCAGGTAATGCTTGCTACCGTTAAATCCAGAACCTTATGTCTTCTCGTCTGCTGTCTAAAAACATAAAAAATAGAATATACAAAACTATAATTTTACCTGTGGTTTTGTAGGGTGTGAAACTTGGTATCTGACATTAAGGAAGGAAATGAAGCACTATGTTACAAGCGGAAGGTTGTGGGTTCAATTTCCGATGACGTCACTTGAGTTTTCAATTTACCTAATCCTTCCAGCCGCACTATGGCCCTGGGGTCGACACAGCGTCTAACAAAAATGAGTACCAAAAATCTTCCTGGGGGTAGAAGGGGGTCAGGCCTGTAGGGTTGTCAACCTTACCACCATCTGTGAGTCGACTGTCTCGAAAATGTGGAAGCCTCGACGTCTCACAACCCAATTGGTCTCCATGGCCTGTTACAGGAATAGCTTTACTTTACTTAACTTACATAGACTGCGGGTATTTGAAAACACGAGCCTATTTGCACTGAAGAGGGATGAAGTGGTAGGAGGTTAGAGAAAACCGCATAATGAGGTGCTTCATAATTTGTACTCTTCATGAGATATTATTTGGTTGACCAATTGAGGAGGATGAGATGCCCTGGACATGTAGCACGTACGGGAGCTATGAGTAATAGCAAGCGTACAAAACTTCAGCCAGAACCCTGAAGGGAATATACCAGTTAGTCGTCGGAAGCGTAGATGTGAATTTAATTGGCTCGGGACAGGTCTCTGCTTGTGTCAGGCTGTTGCCTGTCCTCCGGTAAATCTTATATTGAACCAATCCAGAAATGCACTTCCATTTTTATTTTACATCATTCATGAAGTTCTAATCAACACGCATGAATCTTACTTACTTAATCCGTTCCTCTTATAACTTATAGTGTCTAGGTTTTTTTTTTATCATTTTACAGATGGTAGGACTCATTGGACGGGTGATCAGCCCGTCGCATGGCCTCTACCTAAACACAGTACAACACAAACACAGAATAAACACATACACATATCAAACATCTATGCCTTGCGTTGGATTCAAACCCACGATCCCGGTTTCCGAGCTAGAGAAGACAGTACATGCTATAGACCGGCGGCATGACTTTTAATTGCGATTAATTTGTTAAATATGCACCGCGTTATTTTTACCTAACTTATCCAGGTGGACAGCAGTGACACAACGTTGTTCCACGTGCAATGTAGCAGAATGTTAACTTGCCGCGCTTCTAAACATGGAAACTTGTCGCATTCATTGGAACATGCAGCAGAACGCGAAAACGAAGATCACCACACAAACATTTACATTGGCACCAGATGCCTTCATATGATATTCTAGGCCAACCGGAAAAAAGACGCACGATTTTAAGGTCCAAAAAACCTAAAACAAGTTTCAAAAGAATTCTCTGTTCGCGTGCTAAAAGAATTAAGGATTTTAGGGCCGGACAGCCCAGTACATATTATAACCGACTAGGGATTGGACGATCGGAATTCCCCCCCCCCCTTCAAGACTAAGAGCCGGGATAGCGTAGCCAGTACGAGCTGGGTGACCGATGGGTCGGAGTTCGCGTGCCGGTAGAGTCAAGAATTTTGTCTTCTCCACGTCGTTCAGACCGGCTCTGGGGTCCACCCAACCTCCTATCCAATGGGTACCGAGGTCTCTTTCCCCGGGGAGAAAGCGGCAGGGGCGTGAACCTGACCACTCACCTCCAGCTAGTGCCCTCATGGCGTAGTGCTTAATTAGTTAATTAAGAGCAGGGACAACTTTACCTTACCTTACACGACTTTCAGACCGTTCTCGAAGCCCATTCAGTCCATCCAACAGGTAACGAAAGGTCTCATTGCCGTGGTAAACCGGCTGGAACGTGAAGCTGGTCAATTACCTCTACTTAGTGCCAAGGTTAAGAACACGCGGAGCTATAATGTGATGGCATCATCGTAGCCAGTTTCATATTTGCTTGTTAGCAGTGAAGCGGTGATGTCATGGAGTCAATTTAAACATCACATCCTCCACATATGCAACGTTGTCCCAACGTTATACTGCACGTTTCCGAGGGGAGGAAATGTTTCAACAAATGTACAAACCTCATTACCTTCGTGTAAATTCGCAAGACAGCACCCCCACCCCACCCCCCGCTTTTGCTTACGATAATGTAAGTAGATGACGTGAATAGCCTCGCGTTTACTGAGTTAACAAGGGCCTGTCTTGTCTTTGTCCCCAGGGGCAGGTCTGCAGCACACTTGGGCCAGCACAATTTACGGTCACGTGCGTTCTTTAATATTTATTTCCAGTGAAAAGTAGTACAGTCACTTATTGCTTCAGACAGAGCATGAGAATGCAGCAAATATTTAAGAACAAGGCCCAACTACAGCATAAAAGATTTACGAAGTTGCAAGGGAAACTTTGAGGGACAAAACTCCTATTGTGCTCGTACACTGTTTATGTTACGGTGCCACTTTTTAAAGTATAGATGTTACTTCTATAACATGTTTCGACCTGATAAGGTCATCATTAGGTAGGTATTTTTAAGTAATTGTGCATTGTATTGCTTTTTTCTAAATAATTATTCTGTTAAAACTAGTCCAAACTACTGTTAAAATTAGTTAAAACTAATTCATTTTACAATCGATACATGTCTCCGGCATTACGTGTTGTCTTGGGTTATGTACGTACGTTAACTAGGTCAATAGGATTCCGACATATAATATTATGAATAGAATAAAAGGCTTGATGATATTAAGTTAAGAGTAATTGCTTTTAATTGCGAAATTCCAAGCCTTCACGATGTCTCACTTAACAACTGGAATAATTTCAACGACTTAATGTCAGTCAATCGATTAGGAAATATCCTTAACCCGAAGATGGTCGACGGTAGGAAATTAAGATTTTAAATGTACAGTCAAACTCGGTTAGGTCATCCAAGGGGCCGGAGAAATTACGCCGTTACTGTTGAGCAGATGGAGGGATTAAATCAGATTTCAAGAAGGAACATGTCGTGTCATCTTTCACAGCACTACAATTCACTTTAAATTTAAGAGAGATCTTACAGTAAAAAAAAAAAAAATATGTGTAACAGACCGTGAAGGCCCATATGGTTGTGAGACGTTGAGGCGCCCACGTTTTCTCTAAAACAGCCGGCTCACAGATGGCGGTGAGGTTGTCAGCCTTACGCGCCGGCCGCCCTTTACCTCCGAGGAAAATTATTTAATTCCTGGTACTCATTTCTGTTAGAGGCTAAGTCGAACCCAGGCTCATATTGCGGCTGGAATGATTAAGTCAATTAAAAAAAATCTACCTTATCGGGACTCAAACCCGCGACCTTCAAGCTTGTAATAGTACCTAAACCAACTACGCTACCGCGTGCCCCATAGAGCTTACAGTATGAACAAAAATGATAATTAAAGATATGGACATATTTATTGAGGGGGAACGCGGTAGCGTAGTTGTTTGAGGCACTACGCTACATGCAGGAAGGTCACAAGTTCGGTTCCCGATGAGGTTAATGGAAATTTTCAATTCATCTGATTCTTCTAGTTGGACTATGGCCCTGGAGTTTACTCAGCATCTAACAGAAAGGAATACCAGGAATCTTCTTGGGGGAAAGGGTGGCCGGCGCGTAAGGCTAACAATCTCACCTTCATCTGTGAGCCGACTGTCTAGAAAACGTGGGAGCATCGACCTCTCACAACCCTGTGGACCTTTACGACTGCTACAGGGTAGCTTTACTTTTCTATTTACACATTTCTTGAAGCTTGTTTCTTACTGACGATAAGTCCATAAATTTTCTGAGGGGACTGAAAAGTTACAGTACCCAAGGTCACTCGGTATTGTTTAAAAATGGCTGTTGATAAGTAAGGTAGGAGTAAGTCCCGTTAAATTTTTCGCTGTCCATACAAAGAAGTGGGGTGAGAACATGGTGCCAGAAGCCGCTATAAACGAACTGGTTATTCCATGTCTTCCTAAGAGAGGCAGAGGAGCATGTGTTTTATGGTGACTTAATTAGTACCACTCAACATTAGACGCTATGACCAAGATTTCGCTACAACCGAGGTTAGACTGCAACTGTTGTATTCTAAACTGTTTCCAAAGTCAAGTGGCCAGCTTTCCAAGTCTCTTCAGAAATCCAGGTACATACACTTTTCTTTGCCACACAAGAGACCTAGTCAAAGGAGAGGTTCAGCAGCAAAGACGCTTACTGGACCTCCATTATTCTGAATCAAGGTACGGTGGCATCCTTCAGTTGAGTGCCTTGTCTTCACGGCCAAGAACAGTGATGGCAAGAATGACAACAAGAAAGCCGGCACATGCATGAAGGGATCTCATTAGACAGATAAATGAGTCCTATTGTTCGACAGAAACTAAGTAAGGTAAAAAAAAAAGGGGCAAAGTTATCCCTGTAACAGGAGCCGGGATAGCGTAGTCGGTACAGCGACTAGCTACGGATTGAACGACCTAGGGGTCGAAGTTCAAGTCCCGGTGGGGATAAGAATTTTCACCTCTCCACGTTGTCCAGACTGGCTCTGGGGCCCACCCAGACTCATATCCCATGGGTACCGGGGTTAAAGCGAGCG